AGAAAGTGGGTCCAACCCCAAGTCAGATCACTGCATAGCACATACCGAGGGTCCACCGCCTGCCCAAAACAGGCCATATCTCCATTGTTTGGAGGCCAGTTTGAGGGTCCTCAATAATGGCTGCATTAACAGTAATAGTGACAATCCCATGCCATTCCCAAACACAGCCTACCTACATCTACAGAAGCAGTCTACAGTTTGGGCCTCTTTTTTCTTTTTTTTTTTTTTCTCCTTGGGCCTGTCCTTTGACGGGCTAAAACCAACTTTTAACTCCTCACTTTATAAAATTTGTAGGTTTTAACCCCTAACCTTATAATATAACACTTTTAACCTTTTACCTTATAAAGTTAATAGGTTTTAGTCTCTCACTTTATACTATAACACTTTTAACCCCTTATCTGTATGAATCGAAGAAAATAACTCTTACTTAATATCAGGTTATAATATTTTGTTAGTTCTGTTAACTGATTGTCAGTTTTGTTAGTTAACTATTAATTCTATTAGTTGATTGTTAGTATCCGTTAATATTTTATTAATGGAACTAACATATAAAATTGAATTTAAATTTCATGATTTTCTGTAACGGAATGCTAACGGATGTTAACAGTCAGTTAATAAAACTAACAGAATACTATAACCCGATGTTAAGTGAGGATTATTTTCTGCAATTCGTATAGGTGAGGAGTTAAAAATGTTATAATATAAGGTAAGGAATTAAAATCTATTAACTTTGTAAGATGAGGGGCTAAAACTTACCAACTTTATAAGGTAAAGGGCCTAAAGTGTCCTGTTATAAGATGAAGGGTTAAAACCTAACAATTTTGTAAGGTGAGGGGCTCAATGTTGATTTTTGCCTCTTTGACGATGGTGAATGGTGATAAGGTTTTCACTGTTCATTGTTCACATCACAAAACGACAATCAAAATCGTAGGGCCTACTTTTAGTGGGTCCCATCGGCCCATTCATTCTCAGCCGCTAAACGTGACTATGCTCTTTTCCAAAAGTTTTTTTTTTTCATGTGCTCGTTTGGACAGAGATAAAGAGGATCCTCCTTGTGTTTTTTTAATATTAATTGAAATTTATTTAATTTGTGGCCTTTAAAATTAAAGTTAAAAATATAATTAATATATTTTTTAATATTAATTAATTTGAAAAAATAAAAATTTATATTAATTTTATCATTACTACTACATGTATCATTTTAATTAAATAATTGATTAAATAAATATTTAATTTTATTTTTTAATAATAATTTATACTAAAAAAATATTTTTAACTT